TTTTTTTAGAAATATATCTATTTCTCGAAATTCACGTTGTAACGTCCAAACTTTTGGTTGATAGTGTATGAAAATAAATTAAAATACGAAAGAAAATACATACTAGCTTACTACATATGTACATAGGTGCAAACATGCACATACGTATGTGTAGGTGTGCATCAATAACAGGTGGGACGATCGCTTCTCATCGTCCTTTCGACTGTACTTTGGCAAAAGTCCAAGCGCCTTTTACGCTGGATGTATTTCGCTGCCAAAAATGATTACACGCCGATTACAAGGGCGATCCCAGTTTCGTAGATACGAAGAAGAAGAAGAAGAAGAAGAAGAGGAAAAAGTCCAGAGCTGAAAGGATTGCTTGTCCGACTTCGTAACCGCGACGAAAGTTCTCTAACCTTCTTCTTCTTCTTTTTCTGTCCTCTTAAGTACTTGCATCTCGTAATTATACTCGAAATTCATTTCATTTATTATCCTTTTTTATAGAATAAGAAAGAAATTAAATTTCATTAATTGACATTTAATTTATCGCGAATGGTCAAACGATTTAAATTAATTTAACTTCTACATATATTTAATCTTATTATTATATGATGATAAATCATTTAGCAAATAATTTCAAGCTTTCGTATATACATATATTTTATTTTTATATGCAGTGGCACACAAACACACACATAACTTTATCGACGTTTTATTTCAAATCATGGCTATCTAAAAGTTAAATCTAACATTAATATAAAAATATTCTATCGTTCATAACTTAAATAAAATTTTCCGAATTCCAGAGTAGAGATGAGAGCAATTTAAGAAACAACTATGTATCTCGAATATTTCAAAAGTATAAAACGTGGCAATAAAATAGCAAAGCTCTTTCGTAACGTTTTCTCTTTGAGAAGGAAAGACAAGAAAAGTAGGTGGGTAGGCTAAGTTGGACTGGTGTGTTAGTAGTACTTCTGGTAGAGTAGGAGTGCAAGTAGGGGCAAGTAAGGGGGTGGTAAGTACTCGGAGATTTCTCGGGGCCGGCCAACATCCCCTTAGTAGGTTTTAAGGGCGACTCGGGCCAGCTCGAGCTATGTGGATCCTTATTCCCGGTATCTTCTTCTTTCGCTTTGTCTTCTTTTTTCTTTCTCTAACACACACTCGTTCTCTTTCTATCTTTCTTTTTATCCAGCTGTGGCAGCGGTTGGTTGGCGTACTCGAAACGTTGTTTGTACTACCTGTTAAGGGATAGAGTCGAGAAGGAAGCCAAGCCAACGGCGAATCGTGACACTACACCTAACGAGGACACAATCCGCGCTCGCGA